GGGGGGGGGGGTGTTCGTGCGCACATAGGAGAGAGAGAGAGGAAATTTTCTGGTTTTTTTAAAAACCGGTTTTGAATTATTTACGATTATGCCACTGAGTGTATTTTGATCGTATCTTTTTTGTTACAACTCCGATTCAAGCTCATTATGTGTCTACGGACTCATATCGGTACGATCTACGTAAATTAGAGTCGGGGTGTTTTACGGGTTTAATTATGCATACCTTTTTTAAATTAATTTTGGCGTGCATGTTTGGTTATGCATCAAGGTCAATATAAATTATATTAATTAATTAATTAATTAATGATATCTACCAGTCATCCAACAAAGGCTTAATAATTATTAGAAGGACAAGACATGGAATTAAAATACGAGGACAAAACAAACAACCTTAATTAAAGTGCACTGAAAGAAGATCCTGAGGTCCGATCTTACTAAAAAGACTAAATCTTTTGGCAAATTGAGTGAGTGGTAACAAGTAGAACCAATAATCGAACCTTTTTTTTGTTTGACCAATAATCGAAGCTTAAGTGTTTATATAGAAAGAGCAAACCTGGAAAAGAGGAGCATTTTCATGGACAGGTGTCAATTTTTTTAAAGGTAGTGAGATACACCTTGAATTAAAGGTAGTGAGATACACCTTGAAAGGTAGGTAGCTAGCCCAATACACTTTGCCCTATAAATAATTTGCATTTGAGCAAGTTACGCACATAGATTATGATGGGCATATTTTATATTATATATTTAACCCTATTCTTAGTATATTTTGGTTAATATTTTGGAAGAATTTTGATACTTTGAATTATATTTCCAATATAGGACTTTTGACTTCCTCCGGAGCAAAACATAATCAAATGGATGAATTTTGGAGTAATTCCAGTTGGAGGACGTTCGTGAGTCACTTAGATTGATCGTATCAAAATTTCAGATTTTTCTACCAAGCGGTTATTCTCTGGCAATAAAATAAAGGAGCAATGCACGGTGCTGGAATAGTGACGGTTTGGGCTTTTATTGCGTTTTGGAGCCCAAGATGACCTCAAATGGGTTCGTGGCCTTCTGGAGAAGTGTTCAGAACGTTTTTATCTTTAAAACAAGCTATCTTGGGCCTGATTTGGAGGAGATTTGAGCCCAAAACGTGGCTGGACAGATTGTGGGCAGATTCTACTAATCCAACTTGGACTTTATTTCCTAGTTTTATTTTATTTTAACCTAGTTTCCTTGTGGAGATTGGGGAGCTGAGTTTTAGGAGGTATATAAGTTATGTTTCAGATATTTTTTTGGGAACTCTCTTTTGGCTTTGGAACGCGACGTTGGTTAGGGTTTTTGGGGAGCTTCTACTTCCAGGTGTTTTTATTCTTATTCATTCGAATGATATTTTCTT